CTGAGCGATGACGAAACTACATCGGAGGGTATGTTGTGAACTTAAATATTTTTTAATATACTAAAATTATGACGTTGACATGGTCCGCAGTGCATATATCCAAGATATTCTTCTTAACCTACAGCCGCTGCTTTGTCAAATTGAGAAGTTACAACTGCGATAGTTTGGGCACATGTTGCGGATGCCTTCAGAAACAAAGGCGAAGCAACTGCTACTTGCCAAGCTGACCGGCAAAAGATCCAGGGACGATCAAGATTAACCTGGTGTAAATGGATTGAAGGAATCTGCTCTATACCGAAGTTGTCTTCTGCCGAAACTCAGACTTTGGCACAGGATCGAGGACAATGGAAGGACTGTTTGACACGTCTGTCTCCGCGATCCAGAATTACAGCAAAATTAATTGAACTGAGTGTGTTGTTCTCAAGTTGATGTGTTGAGTCATCTGAAGTAGTGTAGTACCTTAAGTGTTTTCAGTTACTACTGGATCGGAAGTTTGCGCCCCGCCAGTGCACACCCAGGTCGAATACACCCACTGTCTGGTACCTGACCTGCTGGCGATCACACGGGCGTGCTATTACTTTGGTGTGATGAATCGGTTCGAGGCGGAAAAGCTGCTGGAAAACAAGCCCGAAGGAACGTTCCTGCTGCGTGACAGTGCCCAGTCCGAATACTTATTTTCAGTCAGCTTCAGGTATATCTCTGACAGGCATACCTTTCACCTCATTTATTCGCGCTTTACTTCGTTTTTCAATGTATTCAGGCGATACCAACGTACACTGCACGCGAGGATCGAACAGCTGAATCATCGCTTCAGTTTTGACTCATATGACCCATCCGTGTTCAGCGCGACGACCGTGAGTCAACTAATCGAACACTATAAAGACCCGGCTAAGTGAATAGATTTGGATTATATTTTGTCATGTTTTTTGTGTGTTAGAGGGACGGATTTTAATATTCACTGGCTGCATATGATGGTGGATCATTTAGAGAAGCGATAAATTGATATATCACGGTCGGTCCTCGTAGGCGACATTCGATGTGACTATATTTGTCATGCTGAAATGACAAACTCTGAACTTTTCTGATCGAAAGATCGATCAATATGACAGCTGAAATTAAGACAAACGTATGAAGTCAGTGTGACAACAATAAAATGAGTGAAAGGTGGATTCCAAAATTACTGGTAGCCATTTCCGATAACCACGTAATACTCTTAAAACTGGTCAGAGATGCGAGAGCTATTGCAGAGTCGTTTCAAGTGTCACGTCGATTATTCTTCTACCTCGCCATTTCTTGCGATTAGAGAATTTTTTCATTAGCGCATGCTGGTCGGTTGTTAAAGACTTATTAGCTATACGTGACGATGCCAGGGACATTGGTTCTGTGTACATTGTTCTGAGTCACAAAAACAAAAGCTGTCCTTTAATGGCAATGTACGAAGAGCTGGTGACTTCTGGATCAGATTTCTGATTGCATCGCCATCTTGCAGCTAGTTGCTTAGGGGGCCATTTAAACAGGCAACGGCTCATTGTATTTTAGCACCTGTACTGTTTCGCGTTATTTTGTTCCGTTCAAAAAATCTTCGAATTAATTTAAGCAGACGGCTAAGATCAAACTTCCGCACCCTTACTGCTTTGATACGTAGTTTTACCTTTGGTGATTTTTCCAGTAGTTATCTACCTGTTTTAACGCGGCAAACAGCTTAATGAACACTGATCTAGTAGCTACTCGACAGCACACTGGGTGTAGCACATGCTTGGTGTTGTTCAGCACTTTGTCCACAAACATGATCGCAGTTATCGTATCACCCATGCTTATCGTAACAACTCTCTTGTATGTTATCACTGGTGTCACTTAAGCAACGTTTTGAAGTCTGTAACGGCGGAAACTCTAAGGAACACTCATTGGTAAGGTAATTATGGCGATATAGCACGGACTGCGTGTTTGCCATGGTTATATAATGTTAGCAGTAAACTTTCCGGCGGTGAAACATCCGCTTTTAAAAAAAGATATGTAACCATTTTTGGACTACCGTTTTTGCTCTTGTATGTACCCTAATAATTTTCTCTTTTTAGCTGTTTGTTTTTTGAACCTCAATTGTCAAGGCCGCTGTGCAGAAATTTCGTTTTTCCGCTGCAGCATCTGTGTCGGTCGGTTATATGCAGTCGCATAACTTATAACGACATTGCGCAGATTCGAATTCCGAAGTCGTTCAGGAATTTTCTTCGCGAGTACCACTATCGACAGCCGGTCCGCATCGTTCGCATGGAGTAGTTGTAAATAAGCAGCGAATTGACAGACACCATTGATACACGTACTTGATTTGTATTTTATGTTCACTTCTGTGACCGTTATATTATTTTTCTATTTAAAACGGTTTTAAAATTTTCTGTTATTTATTATACACGTTGTTGGCGTCAGTAGATGAAGTTGATGGATCGATTAATTAAGTTGGTAGCTGGTGACCGTTCCACGGTGGAAACTTTTCTTAACTATTCGTTGCTTCAATTGAATCTGCCGTTCGCATATTATGTATTCAATTTCTTTTTTTTAATTTAAAGAAAAACGCTATTTTTAACGGTTAGTTGTATGCGACGACTTCTACACAATACATATAATGGCAAATTCCTTCCATCGAGTAAAATTGTAAAAGAAAAGAGCTGAAAAGAACAGAGCTGAAACCCTACTCTAGGAGCACGGTATCAATTTTCTGATAAGAACATGCATCGCCAATCTATGTCAGAGTGAACAAGCAAGAAAAGGAAAGGGTTGAGACAAACAAAAGATTCGCATCTGGTGAAGAAAGCGGAATACGGAAAAAAAGCTCGGCGGCTGTGGAACATGCAGTACAAAAATGCCACTGCATATTTTGCGACCAAGTGAAAGCACAAGACCGACAGAAATTTTCTAAGCTGGAAGAAAGCCTTGGTAATTCAGTCAAACGAATTCATGAATAGATATATTGGTATGCAGCTAGCAATGGAATACGACGTAATTATCACTATCGCGGCAAAACCTCCAGAGTGAAATTTCTGCTTACATTGTAGCACTATCTGTTTTACATTATATCTTTCCTTGAAGACGGATCGATTAGGATCCGAAACGTTGGAGAATACTAATAAAATAAATTCGACATATCGAGCCATCGCATACAGGATTGTTCAAATTTTTAACTGAATACTCACTTTCAAAATTTTCTTTCTACCGGATAAATGTGGATTATGATGCAATGTTTGCCGCACCGTGCACGAGGTTCGCAAGTTCATCTCCCTGGGACATTATCTCTTCGCTTCACAAGGGCTTAACAGCCCGATACTATTGAAGATTTGTTACCAGACTGACGTGCATCATCGCGAAAACAAAATGTAACTGAATAAGAAATCACTGACACTGCACCTCGTTCTTACGTTCATAGTTCCTTCTGTACCAAAGAGTACTTATTCTACTAACCCATTCTTGCTGTTATACATTGTACACATGTTTAAGTAGAAGTATCATTCCGTAGAAGTAGCACATTAACGCATAAAACTATATTATTTACTGAAGCTTGGCGGTTTATAACTTATTCTTGACGTAAAGATTTTCAACGTTTGCTCCATTTTTTGCCACTACGTTGAAACTTAGTTTGTTTTGACTTTTTCCTCGGCTCGATTTTATCATCCTCATCATCTGAGCTATTCATCTCTGCAGCTTCTTCCATTATCCCGGAGAACTGAAATTTTAATCATCAGGGTCATTCATAAAGACTTGCTAAGCTGGTCAAGCCTACCTCGTCCATGGCGATCCGCGACGCTTTCTTCATCATATTTTCCAGTTCAGCCTGAGAATAGGCTTTGTCCACCTCTTCGTCCTGATCCTCAGCCTCGTAGGATTGGTCCGATTCCGTTTCGTCCGGGTCCTGCCGTTTTTTATTTTTGGCAGCGCGTTGTGTACGACGTCGTAGTCTCCTTAAGACATACAGTTTATTACAGATTAAACATTTTCTGTATGGAATAAATACGAATACTGACCCTGAATCTGCCCATACTATTTGGTGGTAATTTGAAAGTTATCACACGAGATCGAAGCTCTGCATTTTCAACCGATTCTGTAATAATCGATTCCTTCGGCAGTTGTTCTGGAGTTACCCGCTACTGTATTATGTTAGTGTGTCTAACATAATACAGTTGCTGGTAACTCCAAAACAACAATCCAGCTCTTCAATCGTTACTACTCATCACTAAGAAGATTCACTGGATTATGGACGTATCTAACAACAAATCCATGAGTAATTCATTACTACTGCTGAAAGAAAAAAATGATGAAAGTAAAAAAACCATTCGAACATGGGACGATCTGATGACAGCGTGCGTGAAAAGAACTGAATAACGGCATCAGACAGTTTAAGCAAACGTTTTGAAATCTTTCGTTGTAGCAGCTTGCACTGAAATCTCAGATATCCTATACTATCTAACAGTGCAGCGCCCTGAAATGAACAGATTTAAGGCAAACTTTATTTCCGATACCGAAATAAAATCATGCTAGAAACATTAAATAAACAGAATAAGATGGGAAAAATAGCGAAATCAGACACGAATCAGCAGCATA